GAGCCGGTTTCGGGCGGTGGGTAGGCCCTCCGCCGTGTCCGTCAGGGCCATGCCGCCCGCCAAGGCCGGGAGGAAAGAGGCGTTGGTGCTGCAGTGCGAGTGGGAGCTGTGCACCTACGTGGCCTCGAATATGGAGGAGTTTTGTGAACACGTGGCCCAGCACCTGCAGCAGCACCTTCACAGGGACCACCGGGATGAGATTGACCCTCTCGGTAAGGAGCTGGCTGCCTGGACTGCTGTGGCTTTTGAGCCCTCCCCCTTCCATTGTGAGAGAATCTTCCTCTCTCTGAGGAGAGCTGCTGCAGGACTGGAATCTCACACACACACGAAAAATAGCTGTGGTGGTTGTCTGTGAGAACTTGAGCCGTACTTGGAGAGTTTCCATCAGACCATTACAGCCTGTGTCTCTCCTGTTTGTGTTGCAGAGGAATACATGTGCTTGTGGCAAGAATGTGGTTTCTGTTCCCCAGAGAGCTCAGCTGACCTTATCCGCCATGTCTATTTCCACTGCTACCACACCAAGCTGAAGCAGTGGGGGCTGCGGACCCTGCAGAACCAGTCAGACGTGAGCCATTGCCAGCTGGACTTCCAGAGCCGCAATATCATCCCTGAGATCCAGGAGAACTTTCTGTGTCTGTGGGAGTACTGTGAGGTGAGAACAGGGGACCCAGTTTCCTCTTCCTACGTCTTACCTGCGACGTGGCAGCCGGGGGAAGGAGAGCTGCTTTTGCCCTGCAGCTCGCCTGCATGCCTGCCTGTTGGCTGTGTTTTTACCTGTGCGAAAGCGTCCGTTGCGCTCTGGCTGAAGCCAGCTTGTGCTGATCTCTTCACCCTGTTCTGTCTGTCCCCAACAGAGATCATTTGATAATCCTGAGTGGTTCTACCGGCATGTGGAAGATCACAGCTTCTGTTCAGAGTACAAGGCAGCAGGGAAGGAGAACCATGTGGTCATCTGTGGCTGGAAAGGTTAGTGGGTGCATGCAAGGCCTCTCTCGAGAGCTTTGCACAGGGCTGGATTGCAAATGAACAGGAGAACTCTGCACTCCTTGGCAGGGTTTCAGAGAGCCTCTTGAACCTCAAAAATATGTGTGCATGGTCCTAATAGTGAAATAGTCCTGTAGAATTTCCTTCAGGGAATTCAGTTGAGTGCTTAATATTGAACTTTGCATTTATATTTAATTAGTACCTAGAAGAAAAGACTCCAGTTTATTTTTGTCAATAATTTCTGTCTTCTGTGTTTGTGCAGTTGCCTTAGCCACTTGCAGTGTGAGGGGCCCACGCCAGTTGTACACTAGTGGTCTCATCCTGCTGTGACCCTTCTCCTTTGGAGCAGGGAGTTGATCCTTGCTAGTCAAAACAGAAGCAGGAAGCCTGCCATTCACAACCTGATTGTATCATGGCCCATGTGTGAAGGATCTTAACGGCGTTCTGTTGTTTCTGTTTAGACTGCGATTGCGCCTTCAAGGGGCGCTGCAAACTGCGGGACCACTTGCGCAGCCACACTCAGGAGAAGGTGGTGGCCTGCCCTACCTGTGGGGGGATGTTCGCCAACAACACCAAGTTCTTTGACCATATCCGCCGTCAGACTGCACTGGACCGTAAGCTCCTGTGGGTGGGGGAGGAGTGGGCTGTCCTCTGGCTGGGGCATTTGGCTTGCTAGAGCTGCCTGTCCTCTGCGAGCAAAGGACACGGACGTGCTTGGAAACAGCCTGGCTTCGCTGATGATTGAGAACTCGGACGCTGATGAATCTCTGGGAGGTGTCTTCTTGCAGAGGCAGGAGCATGGGAGTCTGACAAGGCTGCCCAGGGCTGAGACTGCTGGAGCCAGAGCTGTCCCTCCTGTTAGAGACCCAGGACTGAAGTCCAAGGCAGCAGCTGGACACTTGCAACAGCACTGGGATTTGCTTGTTGAGTTCCCTTGCTCTGTGCCTGGCACTGTGTGCACTGGTGCCTCCCCAGTTCCTGCACTGGCAGCACAAGAAAGCTGTGTGAAAGGGAGGCAGATTGCAACTGGTTTTTGTTTGTTTGGCTTTGTAGTTAGTGTCTGCTACCTCTGCCTGGAGAGAATGGTTCCCAACTCCACTCTAACTACCTCTTTTTCTCACTTGTTGCTCTTTGTGGTGTTCCCACTGCTTTGATCTCTTTTCTCACCACCCCCTCCCCTTTCTCCCTGGCCCCAATGCTGCAGAGCAGAGGTTTCAGTGCTCTCACTGCTCCAGGAGGTTTGCCACAGAGAGACTGCTCCGTGATCATATGAGGAACCATGGTGAGTAAAGGCCCCCTCTTAAAGCTGAGGCTCTGAAGAGTGTGTGCTCTCCCCTGCTTCATGGCAACGTTTTCCACTCGTTCTTTCACGCAGTGAACCATTACAAGTGCCCCCTGTGTGACATGACGTGCCCGCTGCCCTCCTCCCTGCGCAATCACATCCGTTTCCGGCACAGCGAGGAGCGGCCGTTTAAGTGCGACTACTGTGACTACAGGTGAGGGCCAGGGCTTTTAGCTTCCCTGTCTGGTGATGGAGAAGCACCTACAGGCACGCGTGTATGCTACAGTGTTCAGCTTTCTTCCCTTATTTCCTTTCAGCTGCAAGAATCTCATCGACTTGAGGAAGCACCTGGACACGCACAGCACAGAGCCAGCCTATCGCTGCGAGTTTGAGGCTTGCAGCTTCTCTGCACGTTCCCTCTGCTCCATCAAACTGCACTACCGGAAAGTCCATGAGGTGGGAAGGGAGCAGAGGGCTGTTTTGCCGTGTACTCTCTCCCCGTGAGGCTGAGAACTACTAAGTGCCACATGCTGCAGAGGCATGAGGAAAAACAGTTCATGTCCTGTGAAGTGCCCCAGTGTGGCCAGGGCTGTGAGGTCAGGTTGGATTCCTCTCTTACTGCTGCAATGATGCCGTGTCGGTCCTCTCAACCTGATTCCTCCTTCCACGCACATGAGTGGGTACCAGGCCCTCTGATCAGATGCGTAGTGTATTCATATCCCTCTCTCTGCCCTTCAGGGTGACTTGGAGCCCCGGTACAAGTGCCATGTCTGTGACAAGTGCTTCACACGTGGAAACAACCTCACTGTCCACCTCAGGAAGAAACACCAGTTCAAGTGGCCCTCGGGGCATCCTCGCTTCAGGTACTGCCCATCCTTGGCTCCTCATTGCCTCCTCTTTAGTGCAAGAGACAGCTGGGGCTGCATCTGTGTCTTGCTGGAGCAGAGACCTGGCTGTGCTCGGGCTCTGATGTTGGCCTGTAATTGCTCAAGACCCATTTCCCGGTGACTGGGAGGCACTGGACAGCAAGCATTCGGTGGGATCTGACACAGTGACGGTGTTGGGTGGCCGCTCCGGCAGTGGGTCAGAGATTAGGGGTGAGGGCAGCAGTGGTGCTTGCTGGGGGTGAGGTCCAGTTGTCCTACTCTAGAGGGAGCTGCTGCAGACCAGTCCCTTGACAGATGCTGCATCCTCTCTAGGAAACTCCAGAGGGTTTCCAGAGCCTAAAGCTGGGGGGGGAAGAGGATGGACTTCAAATGCTCCCAGTGAAACAGCAGTGGAAGGAGATGGGCTTGGGAGATAAGAGGCCTGGCAGAAAGCTCAGAAGCTGCCATATGGATGTGCTTTTAGGGGTAGGGGCTGAAGGGGATTTATCTTGCCCTGGTTATCTATGTGCTACCAGGCATTAGAACACAGTGCCCCTTCCCGGGCTGCTACCTGTCTCTTGGGAAGGGGCTGCAGTGTGACTGGCTCCGTCACCCTGCCTGTCTCTGCTCAGGTACAAGGAACATGAGGATGGCTACATGAGGCTGCAGCTGGTGCGTTACGAGAGCGTGGAGCTGACAGAGCAGCTGCTGAAGGACAGAGAGAAGCCGGGGGAGGCACTGGATGGCTCAACTGAGTGTGTGGTGCTGTCTGAGGGTGAGAGCAACCTGCAGGGCATCGTTCTGGAGGCCCCGGCAGAGGCTCCACTGGTGGAGAACCGGATCGCTGAGCTGCAGGTGGTCCCGCTGCACCTAGGCCCTTGCTCTGCCGACAACCCTGAGCCAGCACGGCCGAATGCCTTCCCAGGAGCAGCGCTGTCATCGGAGCAAGAACCCAGCACCTCGTCCAACCCCATCATCCGTGTGGTGAACCGGACCAACGAGCACGGAGAGAGTGAGACTGTGTATTATGTCATGGCCAGCGCATCCTCAGAGGAGCAGGTTGCGGCACCCGGCGGGCTGGCCATGGAGCTGGAGGAGAACGTCATGGACCGTCTGCAGAAGACAGCTGAGGAGCTGGGCATCCAGATTGTGTGAGATGCTCACCTGCCTCTCTGAGTGAGGAAAACTTGGGCCTCCATGGGGTGTGCCGGTGGGGGATGGGAAATGCTTGGGGGAGAGAGCTGAGATTGTCTTCACCTACCTGCAGCGGGCCAATTACCCCCTCTGCTGCCCCAGCCTCGCTGCTGGTTCTGGTGTGCACAGTGGGAGGGCAAGGACAGCTGTTGCTGCTGTGGGTCAAGCGATCTGGACTGGAAAGAGCTCTCTGTCTCCTCCTTTTGGGGATTAGGGACTATCAGGCCTCTCCCACCCTTCCAGGAGGTTCGGCTTAGCCTGACACAGGCCTTTCCCCTCTCTGTCAGTGACTGGTGATGTGGTCTGCTGCTGTGCAGCTGAGCTGTCAGCCCTTGCTGAGCCTGGCCCTCAGCTAGGATCTCAGCAGGCGGGATGGTGTGCTGAGCGGACACTGCAGCTGAAGCCTCTTCCTGGGGAGACGTGTGGCCCTTAGCAGGCCTGTTCTTCCCCATCCACGCTCTGTTCTCCAAGGGACGGCATGCTCTACTTCTGCCTTCACTGGCACTTCCCTGCTCATCGTCTTTCCTAGGCTGTTTGGCTGGTGCTGTTGGTGGTGTTGGCACCACCAATTCCCTTACACTGCACTGATCTCTGGGAAGGGCTGTCCCTTCCAGGCTGCTAACTGCCCTGCAGCACTGCGGGATTGGGAACTTTTGTCCTTCCTTGGGTTTCCTTCCCAATTGGGGTTTGGGCTCCTGGTTGGGCGAAATGTACTTTGGCAAGACAAATAAAAGTCAGACTGCCAGGCCAACCAGTGTCTGGTGTCTGTCACAGCCCCGTCCCCGCCAGCCGCGACGTGTTGTGGCGAGAGGATGAAACTGAGCTGCCTACGGCCCGCAGCGTGGGAGGCGGGCACTGAAGAGCTGCCAGCGTCTCTCGGCGCGTCCTGCGTGGTGCAGCTGGCGACTGCCTTGGCGAGCGTGGTGTTGTGTGTCCCCGGAGGTGGCACTGGAAGACCGGGTTTAGCTTGGGCACTCTTGCTCCCTGCTGTCCTGACGTGGATTTGATTTTTGTCGCTTCGTTCAGGGCGTGGATGTCAGCTGCCTGCAGTGCCTTTTTTTTTTTAATATAGAGAGAAGCCTGGGCTTGTGAGCAGAGTCACCTTGCCCTTTGTCGAGCTATTTGGATGACAGTGGGAAGCTGTCATCCACGGAGTGACACTCGGGCCCTCACCGCCCTGCGTGGAGGTGATGTGCCCGGGTGGAGGCAGCAAGGCGCCCTGCTGGATGCTGACTTTTCCCCTGGCTCCCCTTCTCAAGCAATTCAGGCTGCTGGAATTCCAGGTTAATGGGGGAAATCGCTTTATGCTAAACCCTTTCTAATTATGCTGCAGGTATGGCTGTGTCCTCGGGTTGGGGTGAGGAAAGCAGCCCCTCAGGCCTCTGCCCTGGGTGGAGGGCAGCCTGCTGTTGCCATACGCCGTCTGGGTGAGGAGCGGGGATGAAGTGGGCAGAGCTGCAGGCTACGTGGGCAGGTTTCCTGGGGCTGGACCCACGTGTGGAGGGCAGCGCGCACGCCTGCGCCCCAGTGCTGCTCTCTCCAGGGGTGGGCGTGCAGGGTGCGTGCCGTGGGCCAGCGAAACGCAGCTGGGGCTGTGCGCTGGGCACCTTGCGCTCGGGAGGAGGGTGGGAAGCAGTGTGCACGGCAGGAGGGTGCCGCTACCTCTGGGGAGAGCATCCCTGCGCTCCCAGCGTGTGATGTGGCCAGGCCTTGTGCAGCCTTCCCCACCCCTTCCTGGCCCTTGCTCCCTGGTACTTGGCAGAGCTGGGCAGAGGATACCTTCAAGAGAAGGACCTCGTGCCAGGTTTGCATTCGCAGCGCTTCCGGCTTGGCTCTCTTTCCAACGCGCGGGCCTTGGGGTTGTGCTGCCAAAGCCGTGGCCGCGCCCGCGTTATCTCAGACTAGGGTGCTCCTGCGCTACCGAGTGCGAGGTGTTGGGAGGAGAGGTGATGCTGTGGTGCCTGGGAGGAGTTGTCCCTTTAAACACTGTGTCCAGGGAGGGTAATCTGCAGAGATTATCTGCTGGGGAGAGGATTGGCATTAAAGGAAATGTCTCATCCCTTCCCCCATGTCCTGCAGCATCTCTTGTCGTGTGTCTGTGTGTGAAAACCAAGTTCACTTTCTCCTGGGCAAGCAGGGAGAAGGCCTTTGATTTGAGGGCAGTGTGCACGCTATGGCACTAGGCCGTAGCCTACTGGGCCTCTTCTTCCTTGCTGTGCTGGCCTCGCTGGTCTCCTGTGAGGACCCGGAAGGTAAACACGGTGTTTGGGGAAAGAGGGGTTTACAGGGCGTCCCGGAGCTGCTGGCACCTGCCTGGACTGGTCAGGGAGCAAGACCTTTGCCACGTCCCTGCGCTGAAGCTTGGTCCGGGGGAAGTGGGCGGTGGCTGGCAGAAGGGCTGAGGAGGCGAGTGGAGACACTCCTCACCATAGCAAGGGTCAGGGGTGGGCTCAGACAGCCTCTGCTGGGTTTGGACCCTCTCCCTGCACGTCACTGGGGAGCTGGCGGGGAGGGTGGTCCTCGGCCCCCTGCCCCAGCCCTGCTCTGCCTTGCTCCCTGTGGCACCAGGAGACCCGGATACTTACTGGTCTGGCACAGCGCCCATCTGCCTGGGGGGCTGCAAGGGGAAGCACAAGGAGCTGAAGAGGAGCCAGTGCGGGAATGGCAGCTGCTGCTGGCTGGGCTACAAGTCCTTCTGCCGAGGTACAGCCAGATAGGGGAGACGGGGGTGGCGGCGAGACACCCTCGGGATGGCTGCAGGGCTTGGCGCAGCCAGCTTGGGGCGGACACGTTTTCTGCCAC